GCCGCGACCCGTCGCGTCAGCGCGCCAGAGGGGGCTAGCTGCGCCCCTTGCCAGCCCCACCCAAGCGCAGGAGGTCTCTACTGCACCTGCGCGGCGCGGCGCGCGCAAACCGGGTGGCCTCCCGTGGTTCCTCCCTTCAGCCTGGGTCCCTCTGGGCATCTGTGCGGCCTACGCTTTCCGGCGAGTGTTCGGTCGGCTCCCTGGAAGGCCTTAGGCCGTGGCTGGTACTGTTTAGTCTCAGCGGCTTTAAGAAACCCGTCTTCTTGACTGACTCGTAGTTCTCACGGGCTCTGGAAGCCGACTACGCCGAGTTCTGTTTCCCTCCCTCGAGTTACCGAAAGGTAGAACCTGGTTTTGAGGGGGTTTTTTTTGGTACCGGGGATCAAACTCGGGACCTTGAGCTTGCGAGGCAGACGGCGGCACCGCTGAGCTAAATCCCCGGCCCCGGAGCCTGTTTTTTTAGGCCTAATATTTTTAGTTTCTTGTCCTACATCTATTTTCATACTCAACATGTAAGGTAGCGTTTGCCCTCAAGAAGAGCAGTTGAATCAAATTAATTCTACCAGTCCCATAACCATGGATTTCATTATTTTCCTTATATGTAGTTTTGGAGTGAAGAGTTCATTATAGTAAAAATGACGTTTTTACTAAGGCAAACCAAAGATTTCTGAACACAAGCATTGTATAACGTTTTATGTAGTGGTTGATATAACTGGCTAAAGAAATCTGAAATTTTTAAATACTGTCATTGAACCTACCCTCTTTTCTAACCCTACAAAGTAGATACTCTTCACCCAGGAGCCAAAGTGTTTGTTTGTTTGTTTTGGGGGTTTGGTTTTTTGGTTTTTTTGATGGGGGAGACATCCCTGGGGAACTTGTGAGTCAGTGAAATTACACCCCCGCCCCCCAGAGGTCTTGCTTACTCTGCATTTTTCTGTTCCTTTTTTCCTTACCCGCATTATAGGATGGTCTTGATTGAGAGTATTTCCAGGAAAACTAGAAATATTCCCAAGTGTGCTTCAGTTGTGTTAAACTTCAGGGTGTAGATCATAATGTTGTACCACTGTGGCAGAGACAGAGTTGTAAGACCTGGGCCTGAATCCTGACTTCTCCACTTAAAGGTACAGATGTCTGGAGTAAATGACAGTCTGTCAGAGACTAAAATTACACATAGAAAAAAGGAGACATATCTGTACCAGATTTGTTTTGATGAATGAAATGTTAAGTACGTAAAGTCCCTGTGTTACTCAATACCTGAATGGGATCCATTTAACAATTTTCAGAGAGCAGAAACAGTGATTTAAGACACTCAATCTCAAGGTAATTATTACCTTTAATCATTATCCTAGCGCATAAAGTAAAAATTCGTGCATATGGATATATATGTTTGTATGCATTTATATGGGATGTAATAATTTATCTTTTAGCTGCAGTGCATAATACAGATTGCAGTTCTATGTTATCACCAATGTTATTGTTAGTTTTTGTTTTGTGCCACTTTATTAACTTTAAAATGCTGTCTTACTGACCAGGATGTAGCTCAGTGGCACCACACCCGCCTGGCAAGCCGCAGGTCTTGAGTTCAATTCCCAGTGGCTAGGGGCCTACATGGGAGACACATGGTATGTATGTAGGCCAGGTGTGGTGGCCCTGCCTGTAATCCCAGCACTCAGGAGTCTGAAGAAGGACCATCGCTGTGAGTCCGAGGCCAGGCTGGGCTATGTAGTGACTTCAGGGCTACCCTGAACTACAATTTCGTTGTATGGTGAGAGTGAAACTTCGCATCTGTTACTGGCCACATTTTTAATCTTTATCCTTTTTAAAAATGTTTTTGATTTGTAGGAGCTTTTTGTGTGCACACAGACAGACATTCTGGATTGAAAGTATATGAGCACTTTTGAAATACAGTCATACTTTGATTCTTGGCTTCAGAGCGTGTCAAACACAATATTCTGGCATTTTGATGAGAAAAATTATTTCAGGACTTGGCTCTTGCTCTGGACTTGTTAGACTTGCTAGAACGCTTGTGTCACACCACCACCCTATAAGAGTGGTTCCATCAGTTGCCACTTGGTGTGCTTCTGTTTTGATCCAATGGGTCTATGTGGCAGTCTCACAGCTTGGGAACAGTACAGGACCCTCATATGTTTATTATTACTGTCTTGTACTTCTGTGCTAATCATAAGTCACAAAAAGATTGAGAGTGGTACTACTAAGCCAAAAAAGTACTTAAGAACAACCTTTGAAAAGAAAAAGCAGTTCATAACGAAGCGTAGGAGTGGCAAAAGTGTGGCTGATCTTGCTCTTCTGTTCACAATGCCCCAGAATGACAGAAATAAGGAAGAGATGAGAGCAGCAAGTGTTTCTAAAGTAAAAGAAGCAATGTTCACAGACATGGGAAGAAATGGAAAAATTGCTTTGCATATGGATTAGTGAAAAACAGCAGGTAACAGCATGTCTGAGGCAATAACTTGCAAGAAAGCTAGGTGGTTGCACACTGATCTGTTAATATGGTTCCTCATATTGGGTTGCAGACCCCATAGCATCTTTTTCTTACTTTGTTTTGGTACCTGGGAAACAAACCCAGGACCTTACACATGCAAGGCAGGAACAGTGCCACTGAGCTAATTCCCTGGCCCAATAGCATATTTTTAGTGCACATATGTACTTTAGCATAACAGTAGCCAGCTCTGCATCTCAGTAGCTGCGCTGAGGAAATACAGGAAGTAATCTGTATTCATCCACTTGGTACCAGGAACAGCAAGGTGTATGCACATGTGTCAAATTGTAAACAGATGAGTTTTACCCATGTTATGCATTGTGTTACATTTTTGTGTATTAATAATTTTTATTAAATTATTTATTTTTATTTTTCTTGTAGAATTAGCCCAATTCAGTACAATATCACATGAAAATCTGCTTTTACCACTTTGGGAGGAGGTTGAAAGTGAGTTATCAGGTGATGTGGCTACCAGTGATGACATCGATCATGTAAGCTGAAGAAGTTAGCAAGATATGCCAGAGAAGTACAGAATGAAGACCTTAATTCAGGTGAGGAAGCAGTAATGTAAATAAATACTTGACTAGTAAAAATGCTATAAAGTGATCATGTATACTTGAATGACGCAATGTTAAAACTAGGTCAGAAAATGTTATTTTGTTCTTGCCAGGCGTGAAACCCATTGGACAGAATGCCGACACTGAAATTCAATGGTGGAAATTGTTTGTAACAGACAATATGCTACGAGATGTTTTGAAATACACAAATTATAAAATACATTGTGAAAGCATTCTATATGCATCAATAGCAGTACTCAAAATATATTTATCATGCCATCTCACTATGTTAACTAAAAACCTTCGTAGCAGGACTTTATCATTCTATTGTCAAAATCTACAGGATTTATGGAAGAGTGACAAATGTGGTGTTGAGATTTTTAGAACAATAATGATGCGCAGGAGATTTGGTTGACTTCAAAATTGCCTATGTTTTGACAACAAAAAGACCTGCCAAGAAAGAAAAATCTCTGACAATTTGGCTACTACTCACTCTTTTTTTGAACACTTTGTTTTGAACTGTCAAGCAATTTATACAATGTACAAATACATGTATCATCTCGTGGCTGTTGAAGCTTTCAGCAATATATGCCAAGTAGACCTGCCAAATATGGTAAAAAAATATATCCCTTGGTAGATGCGAAGACACTTTGCACCTTAAATTTAGAAATATATCCTGGAACGCAGCCACTGGGTCTTCATTCGTGCAGTAATAAACCCTACTGATACAGGGGGAAAATGCAACTCCCAACCCGTGAGGTGTCAGATACACGAAGTTCATCCTCCCCAAAATTGAAGAATGAATTCTAAGGAACAACGGAGGTTATTGAGACAGATGATGGCTCCTGAGAGGCAGTGGGGGACTCGAAAGCGGGTTGCCACCAAGCCCACTTTTCTGAGAGAGTTTTATGGAGCAAAAATATGTGGGTCACCCTATAGTTAACCAATAAAATTACAAATATAGCCACTTAGCTAATGTTGATTCAGTAGTGAAGTGGGGAACCTAGCAAGGGCGTAGGGATGACATCATTAACCTTGGTTGATAATCTATAGTCTTGTTTTTAGTCTTAGTAGTCTTAATTTTGTTTTAATTAATTAACTATTGGTACATTTTAGATATACATAACGATCACATTCATCATACAGAATTTGTACATATACAAGACATATCTTGATTCTTTTTTTTTCCTATTCCTCTCCCCTCCCTACAACCCCTCTTTCGCACCTTATTTACAAAGCTTTGTTAGTAGCCTTAGTCTTAAGACTAGGGGAGAGGATGGACCACCACCCCCACTGAAATAATGGCCTGTGATATGGGAAATCTCAAAAGGATGTAAAGCTAAAGTTTCCCTTTGTCCTTTAGGAAATTATGTAAATCTAGCCATGGTGACTTTAATCTTCTTTAGAAACATCTAGCTTCAGTTTTTATGTGTTGTCGTCTTCTGCATTGACTCCATCGAGGCCTAGGCCTGTCTGACTGCCCCAAATATTTCTACTTATCTGTCTATGATACTATGACTTTGTGAACAGACTTGTTGTACCTGTTTTAAAAAAAGTAATCCAAATGTCACATTCAACAATTGGTTCACTAGTTACCCATTGATACTACATTTGCTAAAAGAACACCAGTTGACCCACATAGGAACTATTCATAAGACCAAAGCTGAGATTCCTGAAAAAATGTTGCAAGTTCACCATAGAGAAATGTATAATATAATCTTTGGATTTCTTCACCTCATATATAGTGAAGAAAAACTATTGATACTATCAACATTACACCATGATGATAAGATTGATAGTTGTTAAAGCCCTGTCCAGTCATAGGGTTTTTTCAGAGGTGGCTGAATCTAGAGTATGTGATGCTGGGATTAAGTGTGTGTGATTACTAAATCAGTACACAGGTTGCTTGGCACCATCCTAATCCCAGTAGTCTGGATAAGGTAAAAGGAGCAGAAGGATGGTGTTAAGTTTTCCTTGTTGTTTTTGTTATTCTGGCCACCAGGAATTTTCTCTCCTGTGCAAATCCTGTCTGCCAGGCCACCCTGCCTTGGAGCCAGCCAATTATGGACTGAAACGTCCATGAACTGTAAGCTAAATAAATCATTCCCCCTTAACTTTGGGTGTCTGGTATTTTGTTTTAGCAGCTAAAGAAAAGTAACTAAAACAACAGTGAAGCTGGGCATGGTGGTGTAAGCTTGTAATCCCAGCACTGAAGAGGCTGAGGCAGGAGGATCCTGTGAGTTCAGCCTCAGCCTATGCTACATAGTGAGTTCAAGGCCAGCCTGGACCATATAGGAGACCCTGTCTCAAAAACAAAGATTGATAGTGAATCCTCAGCACAAATGAAGCCAGAAATGGACACATTTTACAAGGAAAGGAAATGGGAAGTAGATGTTGACAAATTATGCAGCAACTATGTCAGCACAAAGCATTGGCTAATTGTGTTACTTGATCCTAAACATGTCAGGCATAAATAGTATCATAGTTTACAAAAAAATAAATAAAAGCACAACATATCATGGAGAAATTTTCTTAGAGTATTGGGACTGAGACTGATAAGTGATCAATTATAACACAGGAAGAATAGTATGTATCTGCCCAAAGATGATCTCAAAAGATTTTTGGAGCGTATCAATAAACAGACAGGTGAAACATCACAAGAACCTCCTCAGAAAACAGGAAGACCAGAAAGACATCAAGTATGTCCTATCAAAGAAGACAGGAAAATGAAATATGTGCTATCAGTGTGAGACTTGAGTATGGAAAATGCTGTTCTCATGTATGAAAACTGCCTTAGGTGTGGTAGACTTTTATTTGTATTTTCATTGTAGTTCACATAGGAATTAATTTCTTTCTTGTCTTTCTGTTCTAGAGTTTCTAATCATGTCTTTCATTGTGCTCACCATCTCTAGTTATCTGGGAAATTATTTCTGTTTTGAATTTTTCTAGAGCCTGATTGATCTGTTTTGTTACTTCTTGTGCTATGAATTCAGGGTGTCCTAGTGGTTGATTGTCAGAGTTTTCCCCTCGTTTCCCCTAGAATTTGCTGTTGATGAACTGGTAGTCTGTCTTTGTGTCTTGCTTAAGTGTTTTCTTATTTTTATTTTTGTTGTTGGGCTGTCCTTGGTTTAATTACTGGGCTAGTACTTTGATCTTCCTGATATAGCTTCTCTTTAGGTTTTGAGTCTCTAATGATTCAGAGACACTCTCATTTTCATAATATCAGAAAGGACACTCATGAAATCAATCACAACTCCTTAGCCCAATTGATACAATCAGCAACACAATAGCATCAAGCACAGCTTAGAAATTGACCATTTGTGGTACTCTTACCACCTGTAACCATGTGAATTAAATCAAAATTGAGAACCAGCCCAAAATATGTTTATAGTGAATAAACTCCTCAATATAGGAGCTTTACTCTTCAGGATGGGGACTTAGAAGGAGTTGGGAGGAGAGGAATAGATAGGTAGAAGAATAGGAGAAGGTTTCAAGTGAAGCCAGAGGACACAGGATGATCACGCAAACTCTAGGAAACTGTTGAAGAAAAGAGGGAAAGACAGAGTGCAAGAACAAAGACAAGAATAGAACAACTTGACAGTAATAGGGAAGCTATAAATTGCACTCACTTTCCTTTGAAACTAATGAAATCAAGTGAAGGAAAAAGAAGAAATCTGAATTAGGGCAGGAACAGGAACAAAAAGGGAGATGAAGAATAACATGGGGGAGTAAGAGACTGAGCAGGAAAAAGAAGAAAGAAAAAAGGAAATTTGCAGAATGGGAAAAAAATAAAAAGGAAAAAAATTTGAAGAGCCTCTTTCAGGGAACACCTCTGCTGTCACAATAGGCATTGTGGGCAGCAGTGTGCAGAACTAAGTCCATTAGTCTCAGCTAGCCAAGGGCAGACCCCCGAGATTCAGGCTGAATTCTGGTTGCAAGGCCCAAGTTGGGCTTCCTGACCTCCTGCAGGTTGGAGTCTGCAAGGTTCTCCTACAGGTTCCCATTGCCTTTCCCATGAGGATAGTCCAAGTCCTGATGGAAGGTGGTGATCCCTCCAACTTACCAACTATGGAGGTCTGATGTGCCTTTATTGCAGTTGTTCACTTCTGTTCTCTTCTGGAGCTCAGTACAATGGCCTTTCTGACCATCTGTGGCTCTGCAGTGTGGATTCAGGTACCAGCACAAGGAGGCCTGAGAGCAGGGGTGGGGGAGGTGCTGCAGAGGTGCCCACGTGGCTGGCATTCCTCTCCGGTCCAAAGGAATTAATTTCTGCTGTTATCTGGGAATGGTGGTGCACACCTGTAATACCAGTACTCCAAAGGTTGTAGCAGGAGGATCACTGCAAGTTCAAGGCCAGCCTGGGCTACATAGTGAGTTCAAGGCAAGCCTGCACTATAAAGTGAGACCCAGTCTCAAAAAACAAAGACTAGAAAAAAAGCCCCTACAAGTGTTTGTTTTGCTTTGTAGTTCAGACTGGCCTTGAACTCACTATGTAACACGATCTGGCTTTGAACTCCTAGTGATCCTTCTGCCTCAGCCTCCTGAGTGCTGGGATTACAGGCATTTCCCACTATGCCTAGCTACTTTTTATCTTTAAATTCTGATAAAATCAATGATCAATTGTTTTGTTTATGGTTCATGGTTTTTGTGTCATAAGAAATCTTTGCATATCCCATAGTCACAAAGATTTTTATTCTACTATGTTCTAGAAATTCTAAAGTTTTGGCAGGTCTGTGACCCATTTCAAGTAAGTTTTTATTTATGTATAAGGTAAGAATTGAGTTAGAAGAGACTAATAGATTGCTTCTACCTTTTTCCTGTAAAGAACCAACCTTTACCCTGTAAAATGAGCCATTGTTTTTCTACCTGTGGGTGGCCCATCACTTCGTAGTTTCTATAGATTGACAAATTCCACAGATTTCCACCACTAAAACCCATACATATTTTCCAATGAGACTGTACTGCCTCTCTCTTGAGGGTTTGTACTCTATTTCTTCTAGTATTGTTATACTAAAAGGCAAGAGATTATAGAGAATCAAATTTGAGTCCTGTTATTGCTGGTAATAAAGAATAGCTCACACACACAAAAAAACTCGAACAAAAAGCAGCTTGTAGGTTTCTTTTAAGTGGCTCTTCTAGTTGGGGAGGGCTCAGGGAGGACAGGAGCACAAGCGGAATTTCACAGGAGCAGAACTTTGCTAAGTTGCTGGGGGATCAGGGTAAGTTTCGCAGAGTTTAGGTGAAACAAAATATCACACAGGTGTGGAGTATTCTGTTTACAAGGTTGTGAAGATAACACATAGCTGCGGACTGCCCTGTCACTCTGGAAGGTTACAAAGATAACATACAGTTGCAGATTGCTCTACCAAATGGGATGCAGTAGCATCAACCAAGGGGACTCCCAAGGACGGATGGTCAAGTGACCACTTGGAATCACTCAGCTTTACAAAAAATGGGAGGAATGGTGGTGAGGAAACAAAATGGACCCAGGCTGGCTATCACATTGTGTGCCTTTAAAAACATCTGCCTCATAAATCCCTTTATGCCTCTTACTGACAAGTCCTGAAGATTTTTCTTCTTTGATGGGACTCAGGGAACCTGCCATTTGTCCCAAGTGTAAAGTGAGTCCAAGTTCTCATCTGTTTTGAGGACCTCCTTGGATTCTGTCTTGGTGAAAAGAATCAAATATATCTGATACCGTGAGATGGATCCTAACGATAGATTTCAGATTCTTGTGTGTGGTGAGCAAAGAATTGGACGTGTACTACATCCACTACATTTATTGAAGACAGGGGAAAGTGCTGGTCTGTGCCAACAGAAACAAAATGGTAATATGAACAGAAAAATGGTATCAGCACAACAGGGAAATAAGAAGCACACCGATAAATCATGTTCTTAGATTTTAAAAGATGGGCACCCCTCCCCAAGTGCCTCTTATTTAGTCTTTGTATAAGACTGACAGGAATGAATGACAGGTGTTGAGTCATTTCAGGGGCACCATAACACACGTGTCTGCCTCAGAATTTACTCTGGTTAAATCACATACATGAGATGCAGTCCGTATGTATGATGGGCCTTTAACAAGGTTGGTGTGGGGTGGGGGTACTGAAGGTGTGGCCAGGAA